ATGCAAAACAAATTGATCCAGCGGGATTCGAACCTGGGTGTAAAAGGATGGCACCTAAGATACTTGCCATTGTGCTATCCGCTCACTCTGCGCCTCTGAGTTAGTTCTTCTAGACATGCGTAAAGCAGAAATTGCGCAGGAAAAAACGCATGCAGCTCATCCCAGAATGTCGTTCAGCAGATAAGGAAAACAGATTTAGGATACATTTTTGATGGAGATTCTTATGCTATACATTTCTTGGCGGATCGCCACTGCGACTCCGCATCCTTCCCTTGTAAGATAGGTATCAGAGCCATCGAGAAGCAATTGCGTGAAGTTCACTATTGAAGGCGAAATAAGACTCATATCTTATGTCTTTCTATTTTTTTAAGTAGGTCCAAAATATAAGAAACAATTGCAAAAGTCTTTATAGAGTTGCAAACGATCAAGTAAGAACATTAGCGAATAGAGATGATAAGCATTTTCTTCAAAAGTTCATCAAACAGCTAGATTTTACAAGACTATTCCAGTTCGCAGCCTAGCGAGATGAAAACTTGTAATAGGGACAATGACTTCTGAATTCAAAAATTCACCCCAAATCTTCACATTCGTTTATCCCAAACTTATAAAGTTGGAATAGATCCATAACAATGGACACACTGATTTAAGTTGCATTCAATCATTTAATTGAATGCTTCCAATCCCATTTCATAAGAGACATTTGGGGGAAGGAAAAACAACGTTTAGTGTATATAACCTCCTTGAAATTGCTCATCTCCAACTTTTTTCTTCACTTTACATCATATTTCATAAACAATAAACAATATGGGCCTTGAGTTCATTTCTACGCAAAGAAGTCTGAATTTTCAAATACGCTGACTGAATGCTTGGATATCATAAAACATAGGTACCGTTTCTGTTGTTTCTCATGGAGAGAATGGTTGTTAGTGGCATTGATGGGCTTTACTGGTGTTTTAACGCTGTTTGATTTGCCTAGATCTTGAGCATGGATTAGACGTTTTGAGAGAAACTTGGACGGAGATCTCACGGAAAATAAAAATTATACAATAGCTGTTCCTACATAGAGTTCATTTTGTTTCTTACATGAAGAGTAGGAAGTTTGCAATCTTCCAAGAGGTTAAAAATATAAAATGTGGGAAACTTACTAAACTTAAATTATTGATGCCATTCTATTTACGAAAAGTGCCTTGGAGACAAAGGTTATGTAACATTCGTACGAAGATGAAGGAACATGAGGCAAACGTTGACTCATGGGGAATTCATAGGCACTCGTTTAGACTTGAAGAAGAAGGTCTTCGAAACGATGCTATCCTTGTAGCTGGTGCCTTCAACGCGCAACTACACGAAACTGCGCTTTTGACGGTTTGTCATATATACTGATTACTTTTATAAAAATATTCCCAGTGATATTTATAGTATCTCGCTCGAACACAAATGGTGCAAACGGTGGCTAAGAAGGATGATTCGGGAAGAGTTGAAGCGATTGAGCATTTTGACAGACATGGAAGGGTAAATTTGCGCTTGAAGTTTGAAATATCTAGAGTAGTGATTCTTGATTCACCTATTGACTATATAATTAAGTAATCACATTTGCAAACTTTTAGAATGTTACAACGGTTGAGCGGACTCGATTTGATCTTCACTCTATTCACGATTGGTTCTTCCGTCTTGGGAGAGGCCAGATGGTGAAAAAGTAAGAAATTCAGTTTCAGGATAACGAGCATCCAAATTTCGCATCATTTTTCAGATATAACAGCGAGCTGGGTCCAGTCACATTCAAAGGCCAATTGAAAGAGGAGAGCGTGTTCTTCCAAGTAATTTTAATTTTATTTGTAAAAATTAGTTCTAGTTTAAACTTTTGCAATAGTTCACAACTCTTCGTCTGACTCTGTGCAAGAAAATTTACTTTGTGAAAAAG